CGGGTCCCCGCGCCGCCCCGTAGGCAAGGCCCGCAGTGGCCGCCGCGTAGCCGTGACCCAACGTCAGGTATGCGTCCCCCGACAGCGACTTGAGCTCCGCCATGTCGCTGCCTCCTGGGCTCGAGGGCTGACCGGGCGGGCGGGCGCTCATGCGGTCTGGCCCGCGCCACGCCGCCCCCCAGGCCCGCCCGAGCGGGCCACCGCCGCTGCCACGATGCAGCTCCCGGGTCTGCACGTCCGTACTGCTGTCTGCGGATTGCGGAGCCTCGGCGCGCAGCCCCTCGGGCCGCCTCCACCCCGCCTCCTCTCCCTCCTCCGCCTCTACCCTCTCCTCGTCTTCGTTCTCTTCCTCTTCTCCCTCTCCCTCCTCCTCTTCCTCACAGCGGCAGCGCGCGAGGCCGGCCCGGGGGCGGGCTCTGGCTCCGGCTTCGAGGCTCCCGTTGGGACTTCGCAGCTGTCCAATCAGAGGGGACCTGGAGACCGCCTCTTCCCGGAGCCGGGCTCCACGGCCGCGTAGACCGACGGGCCGAGGTCAAGAGCTGCTGAGATCCAGGGAGCAGGAGGGCTGGACGGAGCTGTGGTGAGACAGCCGGACCCAGAGTTCTTACTTGCTTCTCCTGCGACCTAGCGTTGCTGCCCTCAAGCGCACTCGTCCCACGTGCACCCGTCTGGGTCAGTCTGTTTGCCAGTCCCCTCCAGCTGGGGGCCCTCTCCTGGGTGATAGACATCGCATCACGTACCGACTCGGCTTGGGAGCCCTGTAGCCAGGCTGGGAACCTGTGGGAGGGTTTTTGAGGAGTTGCTAACGCCTGCTGGAAAACCAGGGGACACGCTGGACCCTCACGCTCTGCTAGCTAACCTTGCTCAGCATGAGCCAGTGGACAACGGGCGGCTTGGAGGGCTTTCACCAGAGTCTCCAAAGTCACCCCCTCTTTTCAAATCTAGCCACATTTGATGGGAATTCCGTCAGCCTCTGGACCCACCTTTTCAATTTTTCTTCCAACAGGGCGTGAAGGCCAGGGTCCCAAACTTCTCCCAGGCAGGAACCTGCCTAGATGCCCACTGAGTTGGGGAGCAGTTCCTGCCCCTGCGCAGCTGAGAGGTGGGGTCAGCCTGTCTCCAGCAGGAGGTGGCAGGACTCACCTGCCATCAGGTACTCCAGGAGGGTGAGCAGGTGTCTGCAGCATTAGTGGTGTGAATGGGTGAGGACCGTGTGCTGTCCGGAAGGTTTTGGAAAGGAGTCCTTGCTGAGTGAGTGTGTGGGGAGCTGTGCCCAAATGTGGATGTGCAATCATAGGAAACAGTGGTTCACGATCTGGCCTGCTGTGGATTCTGGAGTGATGAGTGATCTCTCATCACTCTGGAAGATGCCAGAGTGCAGAGGGGTCTTGGTATCCCTAGGCTGTCTCCCTGGCTGATGTCAGGCACAGGTGGGGAATTGGTGGAGACCTTGTTGTGGACAGGAGGCCATAGTGAAGGGTACCTCAGTCTGGGGGTGAATGGATGTCAGGCCCAGAGGCTTAGGTGGGGACACTGATGGAAGAGGCAGGGTGGGGCCCCGAGATGGAGGGGCATGGACCACTTGGGCCATGGTGGGGAGTTTGGCCTTTATGGGAGGAGTGGTATCCATGGGGGCACATCTTTCTGGGTCTTTCCAGACCCTCAGAGCTGTAGATGCACCTCTGGAGGGAAGGGCAGTCCTACCTGGCAGACTCAGGACAATGGGCGAGGGGAAGGACAGACGTTGACCAGGATGCTGAGTGTGGACATACTGAATATGAAGCAGATGGGAGGCCCCAGGGCTTCTAGCTGGCACCGGTGAGGAATACACAGCAACTGACAGCACTGGAGGGAGGTCCGCCTCTGGCAGGACTCCCTTTAGGGCGGGACCCTGCTGCAGCCAGTCCGTGGCTGGGCTGGGTCTTGGATGTCTGAACTCCCCAAGTGGAGCGAGGGCTCGGACCAATTTCCTATGGCTGGGTAATAAGAACCTTCAGTAGCATCCGCGTCGGCTGCACAGCCAGGTGGAAGGCCGCGGGTGGAACAGCGTGGGACCCGCCCCATCCTGAAATCTAGCCGGAACCCCGGAACGCGGCGGCGTTTGCAGCCCGATGCTTCCACCTGCTGGCTGCCTGAGAGATTGCGTCCTGGGCGCTCCCCGGCAGTTCTGAGGGCCCCACCTGGCAAAGGTGCTCGTTCTCTGGCCCCTCCTGGGTTCTACTCTAGAGGCAGCTAGGGGCTGTTGCACAGGTGCACCTGCATGTGGAAGGCCTGGAGAAACCTGCCATCGCCATCACTGAGCTCTCTGAACTAAGGTTTGGATGCTGTGAGCAGGGGCAGGTGAGCCATGGAGGGTGGGAACCAGTGCAGTCCCAACTGGTGATGCATTGACTGAGGTGGTTTGCCTGGCCAGCCACTGGGGCTTCCTAGACTGCTTCTGTGTCTATAAACTAAGAGTTGTCTTTGTAACACATGTAGTCTCATGACAGCCCTGTGGGTGGGTATGCCAACCCCAGCTGTTCTTAACTACTGACTCCCTTGCCCTCCCTGTGACCAGCAGGAGAGGTGATGTGGAGAGCCCACCCCTGCTGCTGGCTTTGGTTGTCATGTCTTGGGGAAGGGATGGCTGTCAGGATGGGGGGTAGGCAACATGAGGCATCACGGGGTCATCAAACCAGCCCAGGTGGGGGCAGGAAGGGGACTTGGCTCTGGGATCGAGGGCACCCTGCTGTGGACCTTGGGCATGTCTCACCCTGGTCTGCAGAGTGGAGAGACTGCACAGCTGCAAAAATGCCACCAGCAGCCCAGAAAACCCCAGCTGCTTCCCAAAGGTCTATGTGTCTGTGGAAAGAAGGAAGGAGACAGGGAGAAGTCTGCCTTGCTTGTTTCCTGGACTGACTTGGTGTGGCTCTGGGGACAATGCCCTGCCTCTGGGCTGAGAAGACGCCACCTTTTTGAGGTGAAAGTGAGAACTTCACACTGGAGTTCACACAACACAGTAGGTGACATTGCTCCTTCCGTCATTTAGAAGGTCTTAACTTTTCCTGCTGGACATCAACAACAAATAGCATATTTTACTAAAGAGCTGCATTGGCCAGTATTGGACAGGGAGAGCTCAAACACAGACATTGGCTGAAAGATGCTTAAAGAATATTTATTTCAGTGGTGCCTGTAGCTCAGTGGGTAGGGCACCAACCACATACAGCAAGGCTGATGGCCAGCTTAAAACAACAATGACAACTGCAACAACAAAAAAGAAAAACAGTCAGGCGTTGTGGTGGGCGCCTGTGGTCCCAGCTATTTGGGAGGCTGAGGCAAGAGAATCACTTAAGCCCAAGAGTTTGAGGTTGCTGTGAGCTGTGATGCCACAGCACTCTATCCAGGGTGACAGCTTGAGACTGTGTCTCAATAAAAAAAAAAAAAAAAAAAAAAAAAAGACTATTGGGCGGCACCTGTGGCTCAAAGGAGTAGGGCACCAGCCCCATATGCCCGAGGTGGCGGGTTCAAACCCAGCCCGGGCCAAGAACTGCAAAAAAAAAAAATTATTTATTTCAAACCTCTTCCTGTTTTACTCATTTTGTTTTACATTCCTGAACTTGCTCTGGGTGGTTATTTTTCTCTGTGAAATTTCCTAAGTGTGGAAGGTTGGACAAGGTTGCTCTTTGCTGTGTGGGTGTGGGCAGCTCCTCAGGGCAGAGTGTGGCCAGTGCAGGCACAGGTGGGCCGTTTTGGGGGGTCTGAGTCAGACTCCGGAGTTCAGGTGAGACTGCCACTCCCTTTGCATTTCTGTGGGTGTTGGGTGATGGGAGCTACTCAGCAGGGACAAGGCCCAGCCCCTGCAGGGTGGTGGGTTAGCTCAGTTTAGAAGCCTCCATGCTGCCTTCTCCAGGGCCCCTAGGCAGCTTCATGGATCCCCTCAAAGTCCTCCTCTGGGTGTGGGCTCCAGCCGTCCAGCTTGGGGAAGGGGAAGAATCTGTGGCCCCGACTGGTCTGCTCTCGTTCTAGCTGTCAGCCAGTGGAAACTGCACAGAACTCCTCTTAACAACACTCCCGTTTGTGCAGCCCAGTGGGCTCCACACTGCTTCACTCCCCACTAACATCACACTGGCTAGTCCGGATGAGGAGAGGAAGATATTTTGTGTTCCAAGTTATTTTCAGAACAGCTTTATTTAGACGTGATTCACGTCCTGTACAAATCACCCATTTAAAGCATAAAGTCAAAGATTTTTAGTACTGTCACAGCATATACAACCATCACTGCAATCATTTCCAGGACATTTTAGTCGCCCCAAGAGACAACTTGCACCCTTTAGCTGTCACCCCTCTCCCCACCCGCAGCCTGGCAGCCCCCAGCCTTCCTTTTTTTTTTTTTTTTAAAGGTTTTTTGTTGTTGTTGTTTGTTTTTGTTTTTGGCCGGGGCTGGGTTTGAACCCGCCACCTCCGTCTTCTGGGGCCGGTGCCTTACTCCTTTGAGCCACAGGCGCCACCCCTCAGCCTTCCTTTGTCTCTGTGGGTCTTCATCCCCCAGACATTTCGTATGAATGCAGTCACACACTATGAGTCTTTCCTGACTGGCCCCTGTCAGTGTGATGTCTTTTAAGTCCATCCATTTGATACGTGGGAGCTACTGGTTTGTGGGCCTCTTGGTGCGGCATGTGTGAGGCAGACCTCTCAAATCATGTCCCACCAACTGGGCCTTCAGAGTCCCCAGGGAGATGCTGCCCGGTGGACGGTCAGGTGGGATATCTTGGAGGCAAGTGCAGCCTGTGTCAGCAGGGGTTAATCCATCATCCCAAACCATCTCCTTGGTGTTCGAGGAGCTGTTACCTAAGTAGTGTATACAGGAATCACCGGAGTATAGAACACAGGGCAGTCGAGTGACGTGGGTGCTGCAGGGAGGACCCTGGGCTTTGGCGTGGATGGTTTTGGCTCTGATGATGTCACCTTGTCTCTGTCTCTATGCAGGTTCCTGGTTTCTTTCCACCTAAAATGCCGGGCAGCTCCTGGTGACCTGCAGGGCAGGGTGGGTTCCTGGGGTGGGCACTCATGGTTCCTTAGCCAGCCGGTCCCCTCGCCAAGAGGCCCTCCCTGGTGCTCAGCCCTGGCTACTGGGTGGGCTGTGCTGACAACGGTGATGGCTTCTTTGCCCTG